TCAATAAATCATGGGCTTGAAAAAAACGTGTCATTGTTTATTTGGCACCTATACTAAATACGACCCTGAGAGCTGAATCTTTGGTCTTAGAGGATTGGTCACATGAAAACATTTGATCAGGAACTCCATACCAATAACATATGTGAATTTCAGGCAAATCCCACTGTGGGCCAATTCCCTATGGTTTTGTGCGGGGTCCTTTGTGATTATAATTGACGTTTAAAAGTATTTTTAGTCTTGTGGGTCTAGATGGTACATGCCATGCGATGAATGATAACAACGCGGAAGAGTTATACTGATTTTTCAGTATTTTGTAGACAGATAATAAAACTGTCATAATTCTACGCTGCTCTAATGTTATAAGTCCAAAGCTACGTCTATTTTGGTTGATGCTCTCAATAGTGCGTGGATTGTTCACTCTGAAATTCAGAAATCTCACAAATTTGTTTTGAACTCTCTCCAATCGAACTTTGCTTATAATTTTTGAAAAGGGCCCCATATCATAATGATGATAATAATAATTATTGATAAATATCTACTAGATTTGGGTGCCATACCTGCGAATCTCCGATCAAAACAGTGCTTTCGGGTTAATTACAATAGAGGTGGCTATGTAATTATCGACTATTGATAGTGGTTCATAAAATGACGAAAACTACATTAGTAGTAAAAACACGATTTACGCCTCGAAGAGGAGTAAATAATGGTAGGTTTTATAGCTAGTGGTGGAAAAAATATTTTTTATTAGCATGTACCTAAAGCTGGAGAGCTCGTGAACCTTTTATACAGCGGTTTGTCTGTAAGGCTAGAAATTTGTATAGTGATGAGTCAAAAAGAGTGTAAAGTCCATGACCTCGCATGCACCCATTTTTTAAAGTGTAAAAATTATCAAAAAATAAAATTGGCGCTGTGAAAATTGCATCATGATGTTATTTATATATTGTCGAATAAAGAATAAAATTGACAGGGGATTTTGATGAGCAGAAAAAGTGACCGGACATTTCGGTTCATATTCGATAATAAAAGTATATGAATGAATAACTAGTTGCCACTCGTGAAATCATTTCAATTCACCCCCCCGGAAGGGTAGTTAACTCTAGCGGTTTTTCAAAAATCTTCGCTGAGGGAACATTTCTAGTTCGAATTTTTTCTTCATATTACATATTTGAACATCTCATATGGTTATTCAGTTGCCATTCGATAAATAACATTGATCTACCCATTAAGAGGGGTTGTTTATTTTTGTTTTTAAAAAATCCGTGCTGAACGAGCATTTCTCGTTCGAATTTTTGCTTCGAATTACATATTTGAACATTTCATATGGTTATTTAGTTGTCATTCGATGAATAATCTTGACTAGGGTCCCTTGATGAAAATTGACGTTAAAGTCATCTTAACAGGGTACGGACAGATCATAGCTGCATTCTTTTTTAATGATCTAGAGACTTTAGTTTTGTCTACTGGCATCCCTGACATTGCTGTCACGTCACATCCATGGGCGCTACAGAAAATCATTCAAAATTTCAATAATAGGTATGTACAGGGTGTTTACTTGTTGAAGATCATATGACGAACGAGTTTTGTTATTATGATCCGATTCTATTCAAAATTGGAAGATATCTGGGGTTTTCCGGGGTTGGAGAAAATGATTGTTTCGTCAAACTTGGAAAATTCAAGATGACCATTCCAATATACAGGCTGATTCACGGTGGATGGCACATTAGACGTTTCTGGAAAACGCACCTCAGGATTATTCTCAGCGCTGCCACCGTGAATCAGCCCGTATAGCGAAAGGAATTTCTAATTATGATCTGATTCTATTCAAGATTAGTATCTGGGGGTTTTCGGGGTCGAACTTTATGATTTTTTGTCAAAATTGAGAAATTCAACATAGCGGATCCAATATGGCGAACGAATTTTGTAATTATGATCCGATTCTATTCAAAAATCAAAATTGGTATATGTGAATTTCCGTGGGGTCGGAGATTATAATTAATTCGTCAAAATTGGGATTTTCATGATGGCGGATCCATTATGGTGGACGAGTTTTGTAATGGAGATTCCATTCTATTCAAAATTGGTATATCTGGGGGTTTTCGGGGTAGGAGATGATGACCGTTTCGTCAAAATTGAAAAATTCAAGATGGCGGATTCGATATGGCGAAAGACATTAGTTTATATGATTATTACTCTACCACAAATAAAAAATATATAGGATGCAAGAGTGAAAATAACGTGACTATAAGTTATACTGCGTATACCTACTTCTTTGTTACTTTTATCAATCAATTGTTCGAAAATGACTTTTAATTTGAGGGGACGGAAAAATCATATGTATAACATGGGGGTAAAGTATATTCTATTCTTTATTTTCCTGCATATTTTACGTATTACTTTTTATCAGCCTACTTTTCGTCCTAGACAAAGTTTTATACATGATATGCGTGATATTAGTCACTCTATAAATTCTTCACCCAGCTGGATTTCCAAAAATATATTTATTGGCACACATGAATAAGTACAGTAGTTTCGGTTTCCATCATTTCTCAATCATAAGGCTCAGCTCATTAAGCTGATAGATAAACTTCTGCTTAGCTTGAAATCAGAATTCATTCAGTCAATTCAGTCAACTCTAGTATACAGTCTAAGAACAGTCTCTCTTAGTGAAATATATTGAGCTTTCAGTACATTTTATATGTTCCCTACCTCGCAAAGATTATGCTGGAGTAGTAAACTCTAAATCTAGAGGACTGTTCATCTATATCTTGGTATAGTTGAATCGGGAATTCCATATGGAAATTACGTATGATACGCCAGTGACCTCAATATAACCTAAAATACAACGAATGTCAAAAATCTAGTGTTTTTCCCTAGAATTGAATAAGGATGGAACTATATAACTGTTTCACAAACACTTTAGAGTGAGAGGAGACGAGGATCTGTCCGTACCCTGTTAGGATGACTTTAACGTCAATTTCCATCAAGGGACCCTAATCTTGACCTACCCCTTAAGAGGGGTAGTTCATTTCCATTGTTCTTCAAAAATATGCAATTTGAAGCAAACATTCGAACCGGAAATGCTCGGTCAGCACGGATTTCTGAAAAACAACAGGAATAAATTACCCAATTTGAGAGGCGGATCGAAATTATTGCCTTTGTGGCAACTGAATATCCATATGAGATCTTCAAACATGTAATTTGAAGCAAAAATTCGATCCAGAAATTTTGAAAAACAGCTACTCATCATAATCGCCTGTAAATTTTTTCCTCGATACTACAATATCTGAACAACATCATGATGATATTTCGAATTTACAGCGCCAAGTTTTTTTATTAATGTTTATACTTTAGAAAATATGGGGGATGGTGACGTGCAAGGGTAAGGGTCATGGTTTTTTTACTTAACACTCTTTGATACATCGTAAAACAAATTTCTAGCTTTACAGCCAAACCGTTATATAAAAGGTTCACGACCTATTCGACTACTATTGATTATTTGATTAGATTTTAACTTTAATCAACCGCTTGAAATCACTTGAGTTTCGTTTCTAGTAGGTACCTTGCGCATCTCGAAAATGAGTATGGTGCAGAATATTGACGAAAAATACTATTGAAAAATATGTTCATTTTGTTCAATGATCCTGCACTTGTCCGTTTTTTGGAGTTGCCACTATGTACTACGAACGACGTTTAACGAGATTACTATCAACGAGTGATGATTCTAGTACGATTACAACTTTTACCAAACCAACGGCGGACCACCTTCCACCCAGTATCTGCTTGGGAATCAAGGGGGCCCCGGAGGCCCACAATGTGCCCCCATGCAGCCTTCTACTAGCCCACCGAGACCGCCATGCTATAGCCAACAGGTTAGTGAGTCAATAGGGAATTTCACCATGATTTTTGAATTTTTTTTTCGCGGTTTCTTCAATTTCCTTACGATTGCGGTTGATCCAGAAAAAATTATTTAATTGAACCTAAATTCAAATGATAGCTCGAATGCGCGCGAAATATTGATGGCATTTCATTGGACGAAGGTGCGTCACACCGCGTCATACACTTAGGACGGACATTCTCATTAGGTAATTCGTCTTGTCACTTGGTCTTGTTACCATTTGTCATTGTATTTGTCACTCAGTAAAAACTATAATATGACACTGATAGATCACTGAACATGAAATAAAATAATGAACTAGATTTCGAGGTTAATCTTCTTCTTCTTCTATAGTTTGTTTTGTAGCCATGTTTCTCTCAAGTCACAGATCACCCAACCACTCTGTACTCGACTTCTGTGTCTGTGGTTTTGTGCAACGCATCCTCTTTGGGTCGTCAGAGGGAGCCTCAAGAAAATACAAGTGACGTCACACCGCGAAAAATGGTCGCTTGGAACTCTCTCAATTTGTAGTACTTTTGAAGAATTAATTAAACGGTTGTAAAAGAATCAATAGATGGGAGGAAGTGCTATTTGATATACTGAGTCATGTATGAGACCATTCGCCATATAAAAAGGGCTATATTCAATCATAGTGAAATTGCCTATTCCTAAACAATGATAATGAATACTACGACATAGCCACAATGCTCAAGGTTGAATGAAATGTTAAATAAATTTATTCCACTTTGAGCATTGTGGCTATTTCGAAATTACGCCAGTCGGGCAACCAGCCACTCCCGTACGGGAATTTCAGTTTTGGAGTATTTTTTTCCTTCATTTCTACTTAGATGGCGTTGCTTTCATATTGTCTATGAGGGACGCCTCCGGGGAAATATAATGCCGACTTGATTTTTGTTTGGCTAGGCTACGCTTAGACGGCGGTCTTTGGACTACTGGCTGGAGACTGCCCTGCACTGATGAGAGTCGATTCATAGATTTCGGGAGGATGTTATTCAATGTTCTGCATGGCATTAGCCAGGAAAGTAGTTGTTTTTCTCCCGAAATCTACCATTGTTGTTAATTTTATGAACATTGTGTGGATACGACTATTTATTTGAGTATAATGAACTTTTCCGCATGATTTTTCGTTTTGAAAGATATACTTTTCCGTACGATTTTACTTTCTCGCACGATTTTACTTTTCCGCATTATTTTTACCTTTCCGTTTTAAGAATGTATAATTTTTCGGTGGTTGCATACGCATCGGTATCTATGTGTGTATATTACATGACATCATTGACACTATCGACAGTTTTTTTCTACCTAGGTAAAACTTCATCTATTCATCATTATTTACCTAGGTTTAAAAAGTGTTACTTCTCATTAGAGGAAATCCTCGAATATTGGTGATTTCTCAGGTTAGTGGTGGATATACATCATTCTGATCTCTCCAGAGTGATACTGGGCAGTCGGCGATAATCGTTATCGTGAATTGACAAAAATGGCGAGATAGGTCTACTCGGACTTTTTTTTTCCGTCGAGGTGGATGACATCTTTTATGGACACATATGGGTCTAATCCCCCCTTTGATAGTGTGGGAGTCCCCTGACTTCAGGTGTACCAACTAAACAGTCCATCCCGTTTGTAGGCTCGTCTGACGATGTCTTCGACGACACTTAGGCCTAGTGGGTCATTTTATCTCACCTACATGCTGTTTTCAATAATTCTGTCATATACGACTCATGGTTCTTGTTGAGGACCACTTCAATATGAATGGCTTTTTCGTTCAAGTTCTTGAAGATTACTCTTCCGATCCCTGTTCTCTTCCACGAAGAAGGCCAAAAGTTCTCCTTCTCCTACGAGTAACCATCGTCAGGGGTTCCCACATCTTGGATTAGGCTGCCAGAGCCTCGGTGAGCAGTCCTCAGCCACCTAGACAGATATCAGCAAATCGCCCCAACTTTGCCACAGATGCCCAAAAATTATTGTCCCTTCTGGCGTAAGACAGCAAAATGCTTCATTTGTCGAGCGGCCGCGGTCTGTCCTCCACACACCACTTAATGGTGAGGTTGAGCTTGGGAAAGAGGAAAAGAGAAGTTGGCCCAGGAAGGCCGATAGGATAGATTGAAAAAGGAAGAGATAAGAGGATTTCACCCTAGACAAGTTGAAGTATGGTGAATATCCGGCTGGGTACCTTGGGTTCAACATTCCCGTACTCTTAAGTTGTGAGCCCCTACTCGGTCTACTCTGTAGTAGTTCAAATTAGATAAAGCTACCAAGTGAACAAAATCAGTTGAAAAGTATCTAGTGCAGTGACAAGACAACACAGTCATTTTCCCATTGTCCTATTGGCGACAGAAATTGAAGGAGAAAGATGTAAAGTATTTAATGAATATATGTTTGTCAACATACTTATCTATACGAATATTGTAGTCATTGATGTGTACAGTGAACTTTGGGTTACCACTAACAAATTGATAATATTCTCAACTCTCCACAGGTTATCAATAAATACTGAATAAATTGTGAAAAAATATCAGGTATATTGTGATTTGAGCTGGTGACAATAATGTTAATGCAATACTTTGAAACCTTTAATCGGTTCAAGTCTAAATCTTATTCTATATGCAATCATTGCTGATAGCATTTGTCGTCGTAGTAACAAAAATATTTCCATCAATTTGAAAATTATTGTCTTAATATTTTATTGTCAGATGCCAGCTTACAACCCCGCCGACTCCATGTTCTACAACCTACCTGTTTATGGTGCCACATTAGAGGGACCACCCATTTACAGTGAAGCTTATGACATGGCCGCCACTGGACCCTACACAGAGGTACGTATTTGCTAATTCAGGTACTTAGCTCAGTAAAATGGTAACGATAAATATCCTCTCGTTGAAAAAACTCAAGAAGTCGGTATCTACAGTCTGTCCAAGATAAGGTTGAACAGCATGGGGATCTCGAAAACGGTAGGAGATACGAAGTAGGTTAAATGGGAAAAAGTTGCGCATTTGGAGGCTCATATCAAGAGCCTTCGAAAATTTTTAAAATGAACATTTATACATTACAGCGAGACACCAACACCGTCTTGGCTTTAATATGTGGGTTGCAATATTTGGTACACGAATTATTGATCCTTTTATTCACCATGAAACACAGACTTCCTAACGTTATAGAAATTGGCTTGAAAATCATCTTCCGATTGCGGAAGTTCAGAACTGTTGGTTTCAACAAGATGGCGCTCCGGTACATAATTCCAGAGAAGTTCGTGCGTTATTATTCAGAAAAATGGATTGGTACTCATTCTGCAGTCCCTTGGCCGGCGCGGTCACCTGATTTGACACAGCTGGATTTTTTTAGGGGATATATCAAAAACTTTGTACACGCAAATAGCTTTGATGATGAAGAACTAAGAAACAGTGTCATCGAAGCATTCAATAAAATAACCCCAGAAATGCTCAGTAATGTCTTAGAAGCAACTGTGAGAGGAGGATATCTTTGTTCCGAAAATAATGATTATGATTTTGAACATTTCTTATGAATGTTTCTGAAGGTATTGTCAAAGTTAAGTTGTTAAAGCAATTCGTGTAAGAATTCATCAACAATTTTAAGCGCTGCATTGAATGATGTAGTGAAATATTTTTCATTCACTTTTCAGTATTGAATGATTAATCCATCAATGTTTGACACTGAATGTTCAAAAATAAATGGAACTGATGGCACTTTTCCTTTGGAAGTTCGAAAAAACATTGATGATAGATAGAAATAGGTCGAAACACATTCGAATCACCTTGTATAATACATGGTTGAATTCAGAATAAAAAAACCTTTCAGAATCTGTGAAAAAATTATCAGGACCGTATTTAAAAAACAAAAGTTGATGGTTCTACGGATACGAAACGTCGCATAAAAAATCGGTATAACCACGTTAAACGTCATCAAGAGTTCCTATGGAAAAGTATTTTCAGTTTTTCTGTATCTCTAATAATAACGTAGAAAAAAAAATAGATATTCCAAAAATTCATTTTTTTCGATATAACTAAAAAACTAAGAATAATTTCAAAAATTTTCGCAGGCTCTTGATATGAGCCTCCGAATGCGCACTTTTTTCCCCATTTAACCGACTTCGTATCTCCTACCGTTTTCGAGAACCCCATGCTGTTCAACCTTATCTTGGACAGACTGTATACGGTTTCATATGTTTTTGGGGGTGCTGAATATTAATCTGGATTTACAAAAAAAATAGCCTGGAGCGTTCCGAGATATTCGCAAAGAACACCGACATTTTCGCACTTTTTCCAGTTTTTTGTCCGTAACTTGGAAACGATACATTTTACCAAAGAGACCACCCTATAAATAGTTTAAGTAGATGCCATTGTCTTTATTTAACCGTTGATTTATAGATACTGTAACGCATCTCAACGGTATAATCAACGTTCCGCAATCAGTATCTTAAGACGGTGAAATGAAGTTGGTATTCATAGATTTTCCTGAATTTGTCACTGGCCAAACTTGTTATATAAATTTGTATTATTATTTTTGTTCGGGCTATCAAGCATCATTTTTGGAATTTGTATTGTTTCAAAGCACGAGGATCAATCTGTTCAAGCTATTCCAATTCTAACAATGGACGATAACTTGTATTATTAATATTTGGCACTACTACAGCTGGGAGTTCTGTTATGTGCGGCAGCAATAGGAGCTTTCTTAAATCGCAGCTTTAATACCTACCGCACACCAAAAAGCAACAAATAGTTATCTTACATGATCTCCCCTGAATAACAGTTTGCATCAATTCCTTCATTATCAATGAATGAATGAATTTAAGTTACCAAATATATTTTCTGTATAATATCCGTGCAATCTCCATCCAACTAGTTTTCTTAATTGAAGGCATTGCTATTTTTGTAATAGCTGTTTGACTTATATAAAATGAAATAATATTCTCGATGAGGCTTCTCAGGACTCCTTAAACAATATTGTATGTAGAACAACTATACAGGGTGTCCAGAGATAAAACCGACAAACCTTATGGGGTTATAGGGACTGTCAATATGATTGCAAAACGCCATAAATAAATGTCCAAAACCGCTTCGTTACTGACATACAGCGTGATTTGTGGATTTTGATAAAAAAAATCAATCCGCCATATCAAATACAGGGATTAACCGATTAGATTCAAATTTGGTACACGAATTACACTGAAAGGCATTAACAAGTATCCCTCTGATCGAAACGAATATCAGGACCGGAATAATATTTTTTCCCTATGTTGAGTTATTGTAAGAATAACTCACCCTGTATAATAAAAACAAAAAATCGTATAGGAATTTGTTGAAGAATCTTCTGGCACTATCTCAGCTTTTCCGTAATTAATTAGTATTTTAATTTTCTTCATTCAAAAATCAATCATGTCGGATAAAGTACCATCAAAATTGGTTATATAATGAATATTCACGAAACCATGACATGAATGTCGTTATTTTCTTCGATCAGTTCGTAAATCGTTTTAAAATGAAATACTCTCATAACTCGAAAAAACTGAAGAATAAATTCGTATCGGGACTTGAATAATCTGATCTAGTGCGTTGGGTTGGTTCAAAAAAGTATAAGAATATTGCTTTTCTCGCTACCAGCATGAAATTTGGCATACATGATGAGAAATATATAGGAAACAAAAAACCATCGAGACACAATCTGTGTCCGGAAATGTTCGTCCGCCATTTTCTTAAATGGAACCCTCCAGCGTCAGTAGGTACATTTTTGAAAGCGTGCTATTAGATGATTCACTGACTTGCGAATTATTTGGGTTACTCCTAGCACTATCACAAGCTGCAATAATTTTCTATAATAAATGTCCTCTATAAACTTCTGACTTTGAGTGACCATATTGAAAATAATCTAGCGGAATAAGATCAGGGGATCGCGGTGGCCAATTCATCTCCACGGCCGATCCATCTATTGGGGTAAGTGGCATCGGGAGGGTTTTTAACTGGAACTGAAAAGAGAGGTCTAGCACCATCATGCTGAAACCACATACTTCAGGTATTTACACCTTGCAATAGATCCTGTAAAGTATTGACCAGGAAATTTAGGTAAACATCACTAGTTAACCGTCCGTCAATTACGTGAAGTCCCATCAAATGATTATCAATAATTCCTCACCATATATTGACATTAAATCTGTATTGGCATATTTCTAGAATTATTAATTCTATCCCTGGTAAATTGGCTCTCGTCGATAAAAAACATTCTGTTGATGGTCCTTCTATGTGCTGAACATAACATCTTGAAAACGATACTCGTGGTACATGATCACCCTCTTCGAGTATTCGCACTTTGTATGTGGTATGGATGCAAACTCTTTTCTTTTAATGTATTCTACACATACATACGAGATAGCGCCAACTGCATACTTATTCTTCTTACGGTTCTAAGAGGATTTTCATTTATAGCTTCCAGTATTCAATTTGTCCTATATAAATTGAAAATTTCAAATTTACAATGAAATCAATTCATTACATAATCATGGAACAAGACAATCAAATTTACTAATAGCAAATACCTTCAAGTCAAATATCGGCAAACAATCCATTTTTCACACAGGAATCGTTCTATACAACTCATTACCAAGTCAATTGAGGAATATACAGGAAGCAACTAGATTCAAAATTAACTTGAGAAAATATCTGCTTCAGAGACTTTGATAATTCCATTTCTTATTTGAATACCTACTTATAAAAGGCAAGGTTGATATTGCATGATTATTTGTATTTTTTTTTACTTGTTATATCTTATTATAATTTCATAATTGTATGTATAACATTATGTATATTGTTTATGTATCCCTATTATAAACAACTATGTTTCTTGGGATAATAAAGACAATCAATCAATTTGCTCTTCTTGCTGAATATCATTTCTTCGAGCACCTTCTCGTCCTTCATTCGATGGAACTTTCCCTTTTTCCTAATACTTTGAACTACTAAAGCAAATGTTGAGTGGTGTGGTACGCGATAGCGACACAAATAAAAAATCTGCGTATTCCTCATTAGTATAAAATGAACATCAAACACATAAAATGACATCATGAACACACTATCAAAACTATATATCTCAGAACGCTCACAGAAATTTTGTTTGCTTGCATCAAATTCAGATTCAGCACCCCCAAAAACGCATAAAACCGCAGAGCAACGAACTACTTGAATTATTTCCATGTTCACATACCATTTTAACTGGACTAACTCTGAATCTTCCCATCAGGAAAATTGTACATCGTATTCTTCTGGTCACCAGGACAACTACAACCATAACCACATGGCCGACAACACACCACAAGATAACGAATCGTCCACCGCCCAAAACACCACTCAAAACAACAATAATCACCACCATCTCTCGAACAATCAGCTCGGCAACGACAAACCAACGCCGCGACAAACTGAAGACGTTCCTCACCGAAGAAACTCGCACACGCCGGTCGTTTCTCTCCTCTCCATCGATCAGCAACAAGAGAAGGACTACTCCTCAATGCAAAGCGGCCGGCGGCGCAAACCACCCCCTCCACACAACCCCCTCCCCGTCTATCACACGAACGGCTACCACCCCCACTCCTTCCCAATGGGATACCCCCACCACGCCCCACCACCCCCTCCCTCTCACTCCTACCACCACCACCACGCCCCTCCCTATCAGTACCGCCACACGAACGGCTACGACCATCGCAAGAAGCGCACGAGCAAATCGAAGGACCGTTCGAGTCTGCGCACCGATTCGAACTCGTCCGCGAGCTGCGTCGACGACGAAAAAACGCACGCGCGCACCTCGGTCAACACTCCCCCACCTGCCCCTTACTCGCCCATGACGCAACAGTTCAAAGTGGTCGCTAGCCGGTACCACAACAACAACAATTATTGCGCGAAACCGAAATCCTGTCCCGATCCTACCTCATCCTCCGTGAATCCTTACCAGGTGCACGTGTCGGCCAGCCAGAGCTTCGCGCCTGCGCCGCAGCAGCTGATGATGGGCAGGCGCAACAAGCGGGGCAGCTTGAGGCGGGGCGGGTCGAACGAGATCGGCGCTGGGGACGCGCCATTGCCCGGCGAGGTGGGCGGAGAGGTTTGTAAAAAGTTGGAGACGCTCAAGCTGTAGGTCGGGCGGTCGTTGTTTTGTATATTTTTTTCTTCTCGTCTATTTATTTAAGACTGTACAATAACTGTATCATATAAATTTAATGTAATAGTGAGAGAGGGATGTCTAATATAATATATTATATTTATTGAAGTACCTACGGAGAGATAAGACAATTTTGATTTCGGAAAGACTTTTTTTTTGTGAGCGTCGACATGTCTCTCGTTTCAAACGGCAAGATGCCCTAACGAGTTGAAAGCGACGGATTGTGATGCAACTGCAACCGAATGCAGTCCTTGTGTACAGAGTGGCAGGTCATCATTGGGATCTCGTAAACCATAAGAGATACAGGGTCGGTTAAATTATTGCAAAGTTGCGCAATATTATGCTGATCGAGATGTTGCCTCAAAAAATTGGAAATTCCGAATACTTCCGAAGATATTTGAAAAAAACCAAATATCCGCGACTTCGTTTTTATTTTTTTGTGACTTTATTTGAAATGATATGTCAAAATGAAATCCATATCAGCATTGCCACTTTTTCTGCTCTATCCAATGGCATTGATAGATTTTTGTTCCAACTTTTCGTCTTCGAGGAGCCATCATCAACTGTTTTTTAAATGGTCAAAAATACATTTGTTTGTTCCTAAAAACTTCTAATTCCAATTCTGCATCCAATGACTTATATAACACTTTGCAATTATTTCACGTTTTGGACCAAAAAATCATTATCAGTGTTATTTGATGATGTTTACGAGGAAACGAAACGTCGGATCCTAAATCTGATGATGGCAACTTGTAGATAAGGAAAAATGGCTATAAAAAAGTAGAATTCATTTTGGTCAATCTCTTACAGTGAAATCAGAAAATGATCATTTCTTAGAACTAGAAACGTGGAGAATAACTTTTTATTGAAAATCAAATTAGAGATAGACCGAGAGATAGACCAAAATGAATTCTCCGACATTTTCGCAGTCATATTTCCTTCTCTACAAGTCGCATTCATCAGATTTTTGTTCCGACGTTTCGTTTTCTCGTAACCATCATCCAATAACAATGATAATGATTTTTTGGTCCGAAACGTGGGATGATTGAAAAGTCCCATATGTCGTTTGATTTTGAATAGGAATTGAGAGTTCTTTTGGAACCAAACATTTTTTTCGACCATTTAAAAAAACAAAGTTGATGATGGCTCCTCGAAGACGAAACGTCGGATCATGAATCTATCAATGCCATTGGATAGGGCAGGAAAAGTGGCGATATATGGTATTTATTTTGACATATCACTCCAAATAAAGTCAGAAAAAAATTAAAACTAAATCACGGATATTCGTTTTTTTTTCAAATATCCTCGGAAGTATTCCGAATTCCTAAACTTTTGAGGCAGCATTTTGATCAGCATCAAATTGCGCAACTTTGCCATGATTTAACGGACACTGTATCTATTACGGTTTACGAGATCCCAATGATGATCCTCGAATTCCAGCCACCCTGTACAAGGTGCGGCAGTTTTATTCTGTCAGTCTTCGGGAATCTGTGGAACCATTAGGGATATTTATTACTAATGTGCAACACCGGAGCATCCTTATACACCACATTTCATAGATCATTTCGAAAATGATGAAACGAGGTCTTTTATTCAACAGAAAGGATCATGAAGACTTTGCTAGCACAAATTTCCTGATATAATTTTTTATGCATACATCCACACGAAATATAACACGATGAATCATCAAGTTTTCAACCAGTGGAATTGAATTTTCACAAAAAATCCTTGCATGCCCTCGAAATTGGAATGAATTTATGCAAATATGTGCTAACTAAGACTTTCTGATGTTCTGTCTGCTGTGAAATAATTTTATTGAAAAATGTGTTTCATAAGGGTGCTTCAATATGTGCTAACTAAGACTTTCTGATGTTCTGTCTGCTGTGAAATAATTTTATTGAAAAATGTGTTTCATAAGGGTGCTTCAGTCTCAAATGGGTCGGTCACATAGTCTTTGTTTGCTTTTTGCCCAACACTTTGTTTTCGAGATACATCGTATGCCTCATTTTCTATTCCTCTTTTTGTTCAATAAATGCGAGAGAAGTAGAATAAATTGAAGAAAACATTTTCCATTGGAATTTCGGTTCAAGTTGGTAAATATGCCTTTCAATCTATAGCCATTGGGTAATATTTCGAAAACGATTCATCTAATGAGTTTAGCTCATTCAAGTATCGGATGATGAAAGCGAACCTTGATACTGGTATTCCGAAAATGGAGCGTACTACAAGAACACTTGGAGATTGTCACGAATATTCATATTTTTTCCATGGGTAACCGAAGTTGACAGGATGAAATAGTGGCCCACTCATACGTCAGTATTCCTTTTTGTCAGCAAAGCCATTTTGATGCTGGTCTCCCATATAAATAAGTACTTTCGTCCATTTATTAACGTTATTTTTGTGTTTGATGTGAAGAGGCATGTTTATTCTCACTAGCTTCATATCAGTTACACAACTGCTCTGGATACAGTTTAAAAGAAAATAAACGACAATATTATGTTGAAAAAAACAGTGAGATGCCATTTGTAGAGGACTTTTTGTAGCTTAGTTTCTAGACTCTTTCTATGTAGATTTGTTTTAGAGAGAAAACATCGTGCTCTAAGGTTCGTTACTTAGAACAAGACAACGCAAAATATAAATGTTATCTAATATTTAAGACTATGCTCGCGCGCATAAATTTCATGTGCGCATTGTTATTATTTGTCATAAAATGTGTATATTTTTGTTATGATCATTTATGTTTTGAAAATTTATCACAGTGAGTATGACCTGATTCGTATGAATCTTCGGCTGAGGCAATAAATATCCTCAACGTTTTGAAACTACTACCATTTCCAGATGTCATTGATGACATTGATGACAATAAGTGATACTTTCTCTATGAATATTTTGCTATCAAAAATACAATCGTCAATTCCACAAGTGAAGGTACATAAGAGCAACAATGGATCTTGAATAATTATTCCACGATTTTGCTGAATTTCCCGTGTTCAGAAGTTGATAATGCGAGATGGAGGATACTAATTTTATTTTCGATTTCCCTCAATATTGACAGAAGATTTTGACATGTCGCCTAACAATTATCGGTATTAGAGGCGGTATTTGAGATTGGTAAAAATTTATCCAAGTGGAATTTAGTAGCGAAGGTGAAAAATGAATATCTATTAATAATGTAGATGTCTTTAGTACAAACAATATATTTCCTTCAAAATCAGTCCACGAATGAAAGAACACAAGGGTAGTGCTGCTCTAAATGGAAAACCACTTTAAAGACATGCCAACAAGACACTGGAATCGTGGTCAATATATTGAGAATTGACATTGAAATCCACTTAACCCATTCTAAAAACTGAAACGAATACAACGATTGTTGTGTGTGAATTATATCGTCGAGAAATTTATATATCTTTTTCGATTCCACGAACATTTTTGAACTTTGATGTATATGAATTTATAGAAAATACCAAATGTTTCGAGCACTGTTGACTTAAGCACGAGAAGGGCGATGAAGATGAAGATGAAGTACAATTTTCAAGACAATAAACCAAAAACTTTCGAGAGTATAGGAAAACGTCGAAAATGACATGTTCATTTCAATACCTCTTGTCTATTTCAATATCGAATTCCAGACCAAAGTAAGGAGTAACTGTTGTTATGTGTACAATTGCTTGACACTTAGATTTTTTGTGGAAATTGACTGATTTGCAGTATTACAACGAATATCACAAGACACTCTTCATGGCATATTTTTCACATAGATCAGAATGTTCATTTTGCAATAATTAAACGAATAAAAAACATGCCAGCATTGATGAATGGTATTGCTAAGTGATATAATCTTTGTTTACAGGTTTCAAATTCAGTATTAATATTCCAGGGGCTCATTTTTCAGGTCAAAATAGGTCTTTTTTACTAAAAACATGTGTCCGTCAACGCTTCGTCACCGATCTATAGGGCGTTGAAGTTTTAAGCTTTTTAAATTTTTTTCTTTATGGCTATTTCAGTTTTTGAGATATTCAGATCAAATTGGAAACATAGGTTACGATTTAGGGTTTACATCATACAGCATGGGGTGTGATTGTAAAAATCTACAGGGATATATTTTTTCAGGGGTCAAGCTCTTTCGCCTACATACACTTTTTTTTCGAAATTGTAATTAAATTTAGCAAAAAATTATTTCAAATTTTTGCTAACGAATGCAGATGCGAAGATATAACAAGAGGCCTACTACAAAAAAAAAGTAAATGGAGCGAAAAAGGGCATGAAGCCTGAAAACATATCTCCCTGTTTATTCTCACAATCACTCGGCATACTGTATAATGTAAACCCTAAAACTTAAACTATGTTTCAGATTTGATTTGAATATCTCGAATACTGAAATATCTACAGGGCGATTAAAAAATGTGTACCGAGCTTTCTGGAGGTGATAGTACATTGAAAAATGAGTATAGTTTGATAAAAACACTAATGGCGTGAAATACCCTTCCAAAGTTGATCAAATTAAAATAATTTTTCCGCATAACGACTAAACGGTAAAAGCCACCAGATTGATATTACCTCCATAAATGTATGTTGATGAGATACATTCTTCTGAAATACTTTAACATTTCTGAAATTGTTAGAAAGAGTGTTTCTAGTGGGTGGGTCATGATTTTGTGAATAATACTTTTTTCCTCGAATTATTTTTGGTGAAAAGTATTTGATAGAGCAGGAAAAATACACAAAAATGTTACTCTCATCAAAAAACAAAAATGTAACCGTTTTCGAGATATTTGAGTTTTTGTAGTGACATGATATCAGCAGATGAATTCATCAGTAATTATATTTCAGGAGGCCCCGAATTTTTAATCCACACACCATCTCTTTCTCATTTCAGAACATTTCTTTTCAGGCAATCTGCACAATTCTCAAAATTGTTCTAGAATTTGTAACGCGTCGACCGGTAAACGAATAACCTTCAAATTTTTAAATCTCACTAAGCATAAAAACTAAACAAGGAAATTATTATTAACAATGTTTATGTCATACATGCCAATATCAAGAGCAACATTGATCATGGCCTCCTAAAACATGTTACTGATGAATTAATCTGATGATATCAAGAGACTACAAAATCTCAAATATCTCGCAAACGGTTTCAATTCTCGTATTTGGATGAGTACCGTTTCCATGTAATTTTTTGCTCTATCGAATGCTCCTTTTTTTCATCAAAAAGATTACGATAAAAAAAGTTGTCATCAAAAATTCATGACCCACCCACTAAAATCACCCTCTATAAAAGTATCAAAAAAGTGGAAGAGTATCAGAAAAATGTATTTCTTCAACAAACATTTATCCAAGAAATCTAAAATTATTTCAATTTCATCAACTTTGGAAGGATATTATTTTTTAATGTACGATCACCTCCAGAAAGCTCGGTACACTTTTTTGAGTCACCCTGTATAAAGATAGAAATAAAAAGAAACTTGAAACTTCGACGCTCTAGATCGGTAACGATGCGTTAACGGGCACATATTGATAGAAAAAGTCTTAGTTTTTCCTTAAAAAAAAGTTCTTGATATTTTGATACTGAATTTTGAAACACCCTGCATATCGTTCAGATTTGATCTTCGTTTCATTTTCTTTCACAATTTAGATGTGTCTTGCCTTCATGCCTTTTGAAATCAGGACTTTTCCATTTCAATTAATCTCCAACTAAGTAGTTCTAAATTCACACCAAAACCATCATGAACATTTGAAAAATATGATACATGCCGCAACACTTGAAATAATAAAAAAATGAGAATAACAGACTGTCATCCCGATATAATGACGAAAATACACACTACGCTCTTTTCATGAAGTAGTTAACTCTTGAATGTCTGGGAATTTTATTTCGATTTCTTTTGCTTCAATGGTAGTTCGAGAGTTTGATTTCTAAATTTTGATTCCGATTGGCCTGGACGCCATTTTGGAAGATTTTTTTAAATGGAATTGGAGGTCGAGTGATACCTCATTTTAGACCGGGATCCCACGTGTTTTTATGTTCCACCTGTTCACACTCAGCAGTATAATAGTCCAAGAGCCGCCTGCAAATTTTCAAATTCAATCGGTATCGGATGGTATTATTCTCATCTCGTCATTAAATCGCTAAATGGAGTGCAAATAACCGCACAGGAAAGTGCCGCTTTCCAATCATTTGCTCAGTATAGTGATTGGCAGTGCTGCCGTTCCATAAGATACAATATTTTTTCACGCCTTTGGAACATATATTATAACATTTAGTTATCAGATGACGGTCGAAATTTGCAACCGGCTCTTTTACTATGAGAGCCCCCCGAATTCTATCTTCCACTACACGTCTATGAGATCGCCGAATTGAAATCGTGGTGAAATTGTATTAAAAAAAAACGGGGTCTCGAATTCAAATAAAATTTCATAAAAACTGGAGATATGATCGCCGAACATTTTGGTTGGATAATGGTCATCCACCCCCGCATACTTTGGTCTTAAGGGGTGTACAGTTTGCAGAGTATAAATCAATTGTATATTCACCTTCGTAGCCTTCAAATCCAATTTTTGTTAGCAACAGACATCAGAATTTCAGAGAAAATTATTCATCTAAAACATAATGATGGATGATAATGTTTGAAATCTCGTACCAGGATTCTTTCGACTATAGGCCGATTAACATGATCTCGCGCAATCTTCAATTCTCCATTGTGATCTAAAAAAGTTCTTTATCCAGAAAAATGACCAAAGAAAGTTATCTTGGAGACAATTCAAATGACATGGTAATCGATGATAGGTACCTTATCTACAATTTCTATTCAAAATCAAGTTTATTATTATTTTCTTCGAGGTAGCTCCCTTAATAGTTTTTTTTTTATAGATAACTTCTTTAGATGCCAATAGAGATTTGAAAAATACACGAAAGCACGTTGATAGATTCAGTGGAAAGAATCCTAACCTTACCGGAATATTTTTGTGAGAAATTCTGGTATCGTATAGACGACGTTTCAAAAAAGGTATCACTCAATTCCCACCCATTCAATACGAATAAAAGATTTCGAAATGGCGTCCCGGCCGTTCAGAAAGTTACCTAGGGGTGAATACTTTATGGGCACAGTGCATACCTTTCTTATTTACAATTCATTTATTTTACATTCGTTCAGTTTCAAACAAAAGTAACCTCCTGTTAATTACTGACAAATGACAGTTTGCAGTGGATACTGTAATATTCCAAACCGCCAAAATTCCAGTTAGTGGCATTACTGACAGTACTGTTTCGATTGTTCCAAGAAACGAAGCGACCTAAAAAAGGTAAACAACAAACTATCTTCTTCTGTTCTCTTCAAAAATGGACAGACCAAGATTTATTGTTTACTAGTTGCCACACGATTTGAACTTCCCTGTACTTGAAAGTTGGAGTTTGAGGTTAGGTATTGAAATTAAAAATCGGTCCATAAAAGGAAACATTTTCATTGGCAGAGGCGGAGTTTGTCGTATAGCTTTGTCTCAAACCTCTGTCGTACTGACGAAAATTCGGGACCATTTTGATGGCTTCTTGGTTTCAGAGAAAACATTTTGATAGCACAATATTCCTTCTTTCCGACAACAGTTTTGTCAATTTGTATTAATATTGAGAGGAAAGGTAGTTTAGTTCCATGTGCCGTTCATTGCAGTTAGATTCTGATTGCTAGAAATCAGATCAATCAGAGAATTGTTACCTTATCTCATTTGTACTTAAGTATTTTACGATCTCATAATGTTTTGGACATAATAACTCATCGGAATTTTTGACTTGGTCCGGCTATTGAATAAGTCGGTAACGAGTTGTCATTCAGCCAGAATGTTCACCTACATTATATTTTTTGTTCAGAAAATAATGACATTATTTTCGAAATAGAGCACATACTGTTACAAAGGTCTTCATCGACTAAAAACGGATGCAACAAAGTGAGATTTTTGCTCAAAAAGTATTTGGCTCTCTAATTTCTTTTTTTTTTGTTTATTGTGACATTTTGATAATGGAGCAATCATCGCGCATTTTGATTAGTGGAACATTGTTACATGTAATGTCAAGAAATTTTATTGGTAAACATGAGAAAGCCTTTTGTAGAAATGGATTTTTTCAATTTTTAGGCTGTGACGATTTAAACCATTAAAAATATTCAATGATGTTTATGTAGGTTTTTATACACATTGGAAAATGCTATCAGGAACAAATATTCTGAATGGCTCCTGGCTATCAGAACATTATTTTCTTGGCATTTTTTCCCCGAAAAGTCAATCAAAATGTCGATTCGCATACTTGAAGTTGTTATCAAAGTCCCAAAGAGCCTAAATATTCTTCGGATAGTAGAAATGAGACGTTTTCTATGTTTTTGAATAGGTTCGTTACGAGAGTAAAACATATTTTTTTCCAAAGATATAATTTAGATTAAACAGCGATTTAGCTTGTAAAATATATATACATATTATATATACATCAAAGTAGGTTTTTAAGGAATAGTAACTTATTATATTGACTAGTTTTTAAGACGAGTTTAGGTAGGTCTGATAAGATATCTCGAAAATATTTGGCCAAAACATTGGATCACACTTCTTATCACTTGGTTTTGTTTCATTACTTTGAAAATTATTCATCACAGATTAATAAAGTTGTTTAGAAAGTTTTTGTTTCCTTTTGTGCATTGTACCTGTATCTAACCAAAAACTGTATATACTCAGATCCAAAAAAAGTGACGCACTTGATATTTGACCTATCTTCTAAAAAAAAAAGGCCATTTTTTTTTATTTGTTGGTAGGTAAATTGTCTTGAAAAAAAAAAAATGAAGAGGTGAACATTTTTTCAAAGCCTCATTGATGGTGGTGGAATAACTCGAACCATGATTTATTCTTGATTTTTGACTCACCCTGTGTGTTAATTGAGTAATGGTATACAAAATGCTCACACCCTATACGAAAGAGGCTTTTTTTGCGAGCATTTTGTTTTTTTATTCATTGATTCATTTCTAGAACTCCAATTACAATTACAATTGATCTGTAAATTGGACTTTGTAATAAGGACGCTGATATCTGAAACATCAAATTTTCAGAAAAATTAGCCGAAAGCCATTTTCCGTACCAATGACGGCTAAATGGACTGTCTGACGGGTTATACATGACTGTTCATTCAGCGAAAATCGCCAAATCGCCCTGTAATGAAATTTTGAAGGGACGGCAAGTGGCGTCATCTATTTCCTGTGTCAAATGAGCTATTCAACATAACCTGCATTCATGATCCTGAATTATTTGTTGACAAATTTTCTTACTGTCAGCCTGTCACTCATTGTCACTCGAGATTGGAGAGATTTGTTCGAGATACCAAGTGAAACTGTGAAAAGGCCAAAAAAATTAAGTGGTTAGGAGTGTTCATGCCAAATAACGCTATTATATGCATAAATAATAATGCCATTCAAGTGACAATCATCTTCGTCAATTCGTGAATAGGTAAGGACACAATTATTTCTTTGATTGAATTTAACTGCCTAATAAGAGCCATGGTAGCCCTAATAACCTGATACTGCTGTATTCTCAAAGTGAAATGTACTGCAACATTTCATATTGTTTCACAAAATATGTGATCTCAAGTGATATTTCTTAATTTGTATTTTCAGGAAGATACTGAATTTTCTCAACACAATGTTGAAGCAGCTGCTCTTCATGAGGTTTGATTGAATGATGACTGGAGACATTCAATTCTGATGATGCTATCTATGCATAACCAGAATATTTACTATAAGGTGAGCTTTGTGAACAGTTGTTTAATTAGGTGAGGGTTCAGAAAAATAATCAGGCATTTTAACTACAATATCAGGTATCTCCATGAATAGCAAATTAAATATCAATTTATCATTTCATACTTATATATTTCATATCAGATATACAGATAAATTGTATTGCAAAATTGATAGAACTATGCCAGCTTCAAAATCATTAAATGTTCTATAGCAACATTTCTTTATAGGTTCTGGGGATGGCAACACAATGAATATAAAACGGCTTGGATATGGGATCTTGACTTTGGAGGATGAAGCTAGGTTACCTGGAGATCCTTTGGACACTGAAAATAAAAGAGGAAGATGATAAATTATTGTGTATCCCACAATTTCTATTATCTGTTCAGAAATCAGCAGAGAAGAAGCATGTTTTGAGTTCAAATATAAGCTCATCATCAGCTAATTTAATGGAAAAGGAAATTGTTTATTATGGTGACTGTCTATGGAATAAAATTATTATATTACTTGAATAAATGATTTCTATACATATCATCTATCTATCTATCTATCAATCCATATTTTTCAACCATCTTCAAACTTTGTGGAGACAGAAATAGTTATATGCATTTCAAAAGTTGAGTTTGCACTCTTTTCATCTTTTTAGATCTACTTGGGGAAGCTATTAGTTAGTGGGCTAGTATC